GAAACTACCATCAGCAAGCGACAAGCAACAGCATCTTGCATCAGCGTGCCCAAATGAGGGCTAATAGACGGAACACGTCCAACGTTACATCCGACGACGACTCGGAGACGGAGGACGACGAAGGCGGCGCATCAGCGTGACCGTGGACTGCGACGTCCTAAACTCATCATAAGGTCATAAGGTCATAAGGTCAGCCGCTCTGCCTTCAATTTCGTAATATCCGCTCTTAGAGCGATGTCTCCCTGCTGGTCTAACCGTAGAATTTATTATGCGACCGTACTTCCGTTTAGTGGCGTTGGTATTCATCGTTGATGGCGTTACCCGAAGCTCATTGCCGTATTTTGCTGCTGTTGGTGACCGTGACTGCACCGCTTCTTCTGACGAGAATAGTGACCGTACTAAGCTGTTGACCGTACCGATGAGAATTCGTTGCGCTTGCGCAGTACCTACTCGAAAACTTGAAGCTTCTGATGGCGGGCGTTATAATCATTGTCCAACTCGCGGTCTTCTTCCATTGTCTCACGGCTGAGTCGCAGTCGGACGGTAGTGTTGATGTTGACCGTACATTAATATGTCGAAGTCGTGGCCGTCCATTGTACATTTCTGGCGTGCTCACTGGAATCGTAGCTGCCTCGGTGAGTCTAGGTTTCTCACGACATCCAAAGTTCGAAAACGGCGAAACAGCAGGTCTCGGACAAATTTACGGCCGGACCCGCGGCCGGTCTCGCGGCCGAAAGGTTTTCTTAGTGTTTTTATGGCTTTTTTTTTAGTTTTTTTTTTGTGTTTTTAATGGAACCTGTTCCTAACTGGACCTAACCTGCAAGGTTTTCGTTGATTGGCTAGGTTTTTTCTATGTTTTTAGTCCGGCGGCCGCGAGACCGGCCGCAGGTCCGGCCGTAAATTTGTCCGAGACGTCGAAACAGCCGGCCTCACGGTCGCGGCCGTCACAATGTCTGCAGACTGCAGACCGTACTCGCTTGACGGTCACCTCCGTAGAACCAACCTTTGGTGCCAATGTTAGGGCCTTTTATATTCGCTAATGTCGCCCACACTTAACAAATACCCTCGAAGTGACGCCGCGACAGTTTCGAAATCCGCAAGAGTCAGCTGTTTGATGCCCTCGCCATTCCAAACTATAAACAAAACCTCGGTCTCACGGTCTCGAGAACAATAGCGTCTTGGACAAGCTTTACACAGTTTCAACTGCTTTCACAGTTTCTATAGCCTTCTCACTCTTCACAACATAGCAATTTTCAATACCGTATTATAGTATAAAATAGTCAGAATTACCTATGCTGTATTCACTAGCGTAGTGTAGAAAATCTAGATGCATTGAAACCAAGTTTCTGAAATTCGAAAAATTTATGTACTCTGTTATCATGTTGAATGTTCTAATAAGTAATATAATTAGAAGATGATAATTTTATCCAGGTGTGCAAGTTACGTATTTCATACCGTATACCAGTTTTTAGGTATCCAGTTTCATTTTAGTTCAAAAAGAAAAAAACAGCTCGGGCAGCAGCAATAATGACTTAACTCTTCCTGTTCTCTCGTATTGCTTCTGTACTTTTAAAAAAGCATTTCTCACACATATATCTCTTGGCAGGTACTACGGAGGTAATGAGTTCATCGATCAAGTGGAGTCTCTGTGCCAGCAGAGATGTCTGGCAGCGTTTGGTCTTGATCCTGAGAAGTGGGGAGTGAACGTACAGCCTTACTCGGGGTCTCCTGCTAACTTTGCTGTGTACACTGCACTGGTGGGGCCGCATGGCAGGATTATGGGTCAGTACCACACAGAGGGAGAGATAAAAATAATGTAATATAATGGTAATAGTGTTGACTAGGATGGTAATATTACCTAGTATTATATATTAATCTACTGACCCATAATCCTGAATGGCTGGTACAGTATATGGGTCAGTACCACACACAAGGGGAGATGATAATAACATAATATAGTGGTAATAGTGTTGACTAGGGTATATATATAGTGGCATATTGACGATTCTTAACCACTTGGCCAGACTGTCAATTTCCACCAGAATTGTCGCAATTAGTTGCAGTTCTTGAACCCGCAACTCGCTGTTGTGCGGTGAGGAATGGTAATCTTAACCACATGGCCAATGGCCAATAAGACTGCAGTTGACCACATTTATTTTGCCAGAACTTAGCAGATTTCTCAGGTATAGACTGTGTGTGATAATCTCTCTACCCACTTATAATTACAATCTATGTGTCTACAAAATGAAGTTTTGATCTCAGTTTTGTTGCCTCTGTATGTAAATAAGCTTTCATATTCAAAGTGGAGGGTTTATTTTTAATCTTTAAATTTGTCAGTTACTCTCAGGAAAATCAATTTGATTACTTATTTTTGTTGTCAATTCTTTATTTATAAAAGCTTGATTTCTTTGGCAGGCCTGGACTTGCCTGACGGAGGGCATCTGACGCACGGTTTCTACACGACTACCAAGAAAGTGTCGGCGACTTCAATATTTTTTGAGTCCATGCCTTACAAGGTATCTATGCTACTGCTGGTAGCTTCGTCCCGTCAAAATAACATGTTTTCTCTCATGATCATAAATTATATTGATGTGACACTCGAAGAAATAAGTGAGACTTGTCCAAATAATGATGCACATAACACACTTAGAAATGAGTGAGACTTGTCCCAATAGCAATGTACATAACACTTGGAGAAATTGCTGAGACTTGTTACAATAGTTGCACATAACATGCTGAGAAATGATTGAGACTTGTCCCAATAGCGATGCACTTTTTGTCTTGTGTGGGTCATCCTGATCCAGTTTCATCCTGTACAAGGGGAAATTCGTGCTATATGTGGAAAATGTGTCAAAATTTGGACAATTTGACCCGTTCATTTCGTTTATGTATACCGTCATCTGTGATATTTCGGACCTATCAACCAACACTGTGGTTCCAGCTGCAGGTAGCTATCAGCCATCTTATTTGAAGCACTCGATTAATTTTAGTCAGGAATTGATTTTTTATTTTACTTGAGTAAAATGGCTAGTTTAATTTTGGCTAGTTTTTACAATTTGATTATTGAATAACCCAAATCATGTCAGATGATTAACTGTGGGGTTTTTTGGCAGGTTGATCGTAATTCTGGGCTCATTGACTACGACAGGCTTGAAGAAAATGCCAACCTCTTCAAGCCCAACCTGATCATTGCAGGTGAGATTTATGATCCTGACAAAAATAGTTTCTCTTGTGTTAGTTTTCTGCGTTCAAAGAGATGTCGAGTTATTTAGCACTTTTTAAATTACCTGGAAGTTCTCCCTTCTACTTTTTTACTCATTTTTTTATTACAAAAATGAGTTAAGCTGGACTAGTCGATTTCGCTCATAGTTGCTCATGTGTTTATTCTGTGCCAAGAATCAGGCTTGAGGATTAATGTCATAATTGAACATTGAACAAGTTAACCAACCGAATGTTGAACTTGCACTGATCTATTCACAAGCTGTACAAAATTTGAAAACAATTAAACATTTTCTTAAATTATTTTCGATATTTTCTTTGAGTTAAGTGGAAGAATCTGCCAAATTTTTGCTGAAAGAACTCGCGTTTCTGTACCATTTGCATTTGGTTACTTATTTAACCGTTTCTTCAATGTAGAAGATCTCTATGCTATCTGAGGCTATTTAGGCAGGTATTAATGAATGATAAAGTAATACTGTTCTTTTGCATATTGGATAAGGTCCATATTTGCCTGCGTGCTAGGGTATTACTGTTCATTTGCATATTGGATAAGGTTCATTTGCTGGTCTGTTGTCTGCGTGCTAGGGTGTTGCTGTTCATTTACACACTGGATAAGGTTCATTTACTGTTCATTTGCCTGTGTGCTAGGGTATTACTGTTCATTTGCATATTGGATAAGGTTCATTTGCTGGTCTGTTGTCTGCGTGCTAGGGTATTGCTGTTCATTTACACACTGGATAAGGTTCATTTGTTGTTCATTTGCCTGTGTGCTAGGGTATTGCTCTTCATTTGCTCGTTGCTACACTGCAGGTGTAAGCTGCTACCCTCGCAGCCTGGACTACGCTCGGTTCCGTGGTATCTGTGACCAGGTGGGCGCGCTGCTGATGGCTGACATGAGCCACGTGAGTGGACTTGTCGCTGCCGGCCTGGCGCCCTCGCCCTTCGAACACTGCGACGTGGTCACCACCACCACACACAAGACGCTCAGGGGACCCAGGAGTGGCGTGATCTTCTACAGGACTGGTGGGTAGTGGTAGGAGTGGTGGGTGGTGGTAGGAGTGGTGGGTGGTGGCAGGACTGGTGGGTGGTGGCAGGGACTGGTGGGTGGTGGCAGGACTGGTGGGTGATACCGGTTTAAGCATCACATGATTTTTTCGTATCGAGGTAACGTAGCTAGTGATGATGTGGTGAAAAAACCTGATGACTTCTCTTAAGCCAACAACACTTTTCCAGGACTCACAATTCTCATTTTTTATCCAACTATCCACAATTAAATACATTGATAGGACCATCTTCACCATTTTTATAATTACTTACATTTAAATTCAATTGTTGGTCAGTAGTAGATGTTACTGTAGGTTATTTCATCACATTATTTAGTTGTTCACCTTAGACTCGTTCACTACCTTGCTACTCCTGACGCAGGCGTGAAGGGCGTAGACAAGTCAGGAGCAGCGGTGCCCTACGACTACGCCAGCAAGATCAACAGCGCTGTGTTCCCCGGGCTGCAGGGCGGCCCCCACAATCACCAGATTGCTGCCGTCGCCACTGCCATGCGACAGGCTACCACCCCAGCCTTCAAGGCCTACCAGGCGCAGGTCAGCACTCATTATCTTCACTTCAAGTGATTAGTGTTGTAGAAAATTGTATTCTTAGCTCACGCATTGCAGTAATTTCGCCATATCTAGAGCCTTTTGGGACCTTTCAAGTGCAGGTCAGCACTCATTATCGTCACTTCAAGTGATTAGTTTTGTAGCACTGATTATCTTCAGTTCATTTTGATTGGTCAAGTGAAATTGTATTCCTAGCTCTCGAATATTAGTTGTTGGTCATTCCGAGCACCGCCACCCACGACGCAAGACATAGCAGGGGCAGGTGAGCTACGAGTATCTTCAGTTCATTATAATTAGTCAGATAAAAATTGCATTTCTAGCTCTCAGATTTAGTAGTTTGCTTGAAAGTTCAACCGTTGGTCACACAACTCAAACTATCCCCAGAGGCGATGCTCAGCTTATAAGTGCATAGCTACCATTACCCTCAGAGCTACGAAATACAAGTCCAAGCAAGCTACATCAGTTTCGAAACGACTCAAAACCATAGAGCCGTATGTTTGCAGCCAGTTTTCAAGTCAGTATAATGTTCATGGATTTTCAACCCCAGCATGTCCCTACCTCCACACTTACCCTGACTCTCCACCACGTGCCCCCTCTTCTCTACCTTGCTGCAGCCAGTGAGGTTAGATTAGTTCGGGTTAGGTTTGTTTGGGCGGAGAGTCCGGGTAAGTGTGTATGTAAATCCTTGAAGACTAAACTGACATAAGCGGTGGCTGCGGACTTACTGCATCTATGATTATAAACACATAACTTTATAGGCTACTCAATCCTGTAATGTCGGCTTGCGCACCTGAAGGTATGTGAAGGTATTGGGCAATGCTAGCCACTAACATACCGTGCGTTTCTTTGCTTCCCGCCCTCCTGACCCATCTGGAGCTGGTGAGCAAGTAACACATAATTAAACTTTATATATTTTATCTGATGCATATAGGCATTCCTTGATGTATAATAGTAAAGCGATTACTCCTACTAACGGAGTCCTCACGATATATACAGGTTATTAACGGTAATAATTAATATGAAGATTCTGTTACCTAATAACGTGCAATTTTATCAAAGATGATTATCATCAACTTGAAATTTATAAGAAATGTAGTGGTAGGAATGGATATGCGAAACAAATAGTTTTCTATTTTTAATCGCTGTTTGATGATAGTTTGAATTCGAAATACCTACTATACCAATGTTTGGAATAAATAATTCTCATTTTCTGCTCACATGTCTCATTTCTTCCCCTGACTTAATACTTTTTGTCGAGTGCGCTTCTCTTTAAAATATAAATCTTAAATGCAACTTAAAATTAAAAATCGGATATTCAGCGCCTTTCAATTAAAAGCACACTTAACAGAAACCTTTTATTGTCAGTGCTTTTCATTTAGAGGTGTACCGAACATAGACCTTGTATTGTCGGCAGCTTTCATTTAAGAATCTTACTGACCTAAAACTTGAATTGTCAGCGCCTTTCCTTTAACAATTTTCCTGTCCAAATTCTTGGATTGTCACGCTATATAAAGTTTTGATGCGCAGGTGATCCGTAACGCGCAGACGTTGGCCGAAAGCTTCATGGCTGCGGGCTTGGATGTGGTCACTAAAGGCACGGACAACCACCTTGTCTGGCTCGACCTCAGGAGCTTCAAGTTGTCCGGCGCTAAGGCTGAGAAAATTCTCGAGGAGGTGTCGATTGCCGTCAATAAGAATACCGGTAATGCCAATTTCCCTACTGGCCGTACAAATTCATGCCGTCAAAAACGGTGACGTGTGTTTGTGCTCGTCAGGAGTCCTATGGGATTTCGTGATCCTAGGGGGATTGTTCCTGAGCGCCCCACCGCTGAGCTCGCGGTGTCTGACTGCAGGTCTCAGTTGTGGGGTTAAGTTATTATGTAGGTAGGATACCTTACATTAAGTTATTATGTAGGTAGGATACCTTACATTAAGTTATTATGTAGGTAGGATACCTTACATTAAGTTATTATGTAGGCAGGATTCCTTACATTTCCCTTCTCTGTCACTCTCGTGCGGGCTGTCGACCTCCCGTGTAAGCGACCTCTTGTTCGAGTGTCTTCGTTTCTGTTGCTTTTCACCTGTCCCTCCTTGTCACTTCGTCTCTTTGAGATGCTAACACTGCTTCCTTCGAGCCAGTTTCAGCGGGCTGGACAATTGAGACCTTCCGCCCCTTGTGGGTGATGATTAATTTGAGATTTTGAATAATCGAGACCTTCCGCCTTGCTGGCGATGTTCAATTTTGACCTTCGTTGCGAAATAGCCTTTATAGCTGAAGCGCTAGCAAACCATTATACTACTCGTCAAAAGCGGCTCATTACTTGTACCGTTACAATTTTCTGATTATTTTGGATTAAATACTGCTATTGTTTTTCTTTGGTCGCACTCATGTTGTTACTTCTTGAAACATATCCTTTCTATCTCTCCTTAAAATATTTCTTTCTGATCTAATTCCTAACAAAACCAATGATTTTCAGGGAAAATGGTTGGAAATTATAGACACTTGATAGTAAAGCTAAAAATTTCTGTATTTTTTGAAAAAACAATTTTTATAGAAACGTTGTTCTGCTACGATGTTATTAATAATGTGATGTACTAAAAATTTTAAATTTGAATTTTTTTTTTGCTTTAAGGAATGATGAATTTATGTTTTTGAATTGTGATTGATCGCCGTAAAAATGTAAGGATTTCTCCTAGTTTTAAAAAGCCAATTTTTCCTGGATAAAATTCCTCATTTAATATTTATAATAATTATCGCTGTCGAATAAGGTGCAAAGTCTAAAAAGCCAAAGTTACACTTATAAATTTGGCCCTCTAATAATATTCAAATAAGGCTTACAATGATCAAATAACAACACGGCCTAATGCACATATATAATTAAGTATTTAATGCAATCTTGAGGCTTGAACGATAACTGTTGAGCATGAAGCACTTCTTCATGAAGCGAGGCGGGGAGGGTCAACAACAACAACAACAACATGAAGCACTTCTTCCTGCAATCTTTTTTCTTGTCATTCCATTTATAGACGCTTCAAATGCCTGTTCAATTTGATTTTTTATCGTGGAATATTATATAGTCCGGGGACTGCATCTATAATAACGGAATGTTTCATAACCCGGAGGTTCTGCTTAATATATAATGTAATCATGTATATAATCATGAAATGTTTCAGTGCCTGTGGACTGCATATATAATCGTGGAATGTTTCAGTGCCCGGGGACTGCATATATAATCATGGAATGTTTCAGTGCCTGGGGACTGCATATATAATCATGGAATGTTTCAGTGCCTGGGGACTGCATATATAATCATGGAATGTTTCAGTGCCTGGGGACTGCATATATAATCATGGAATGTGTCAGTGCCTGGGGACTGCATATATAATCATGGAATGTTACAGTGCCCGGAGACAAGTCCGCCTTCAGTCCAGGGGGTCTGCGCATCGGCTCCCCCGCTCTTACCACGCGGGGGCTAAAGGAGGAACATTTCCAGCAGATCGTCCAATTCATTATGCAAGGTTAGAAGGAATAAATAATTTTCAGGTGCACAAATAGAGAACCATAAATCTATGGTAGGTGGGATTGTGGGTTAAGTGAACGGTGTAGTGGTAAAACGCATCTTCTATGATCTAATCATTGATGAGATCAATAACTCTGAAGCCTTAAAGAACGCTCCACTACGACACTACGGGATTAGTCGAAATTACTAGGCTTTAAGAGCGTTACAGTTCTTGAGTTAGGATATGAATGAGCGGTTGGAACCTCCAGAGAACTCCGAATTATGAGATGATAAGAACTCGTGCGTGGAATATTCACGAACATTCCTCCTCATGCGATGAGAGTATATATATTTCATGTACTGACCTATATATAATGATTTATGTCCAATGATTTATGAAATAGGTCGAAAATGGCATCGTATTTTTAAGCTGAGCAGCTCCTCCGCAAAGCTCGACTTGTTTAGCGTTGACAGATCAATGGTGAAGGCAAATCCCTTATCATTGTCGGGGTTATTATTCAAGGTTGACACGGATACTACGTTATCTTCAGTCTCAGGACTATATGTGATTCGATGGTGAGGTCAATAGTCAATACCAGACATATTATTGACAATGATTCGTTGGGGAGGCGCACACTACGCTATTTTGGTTGATACAATCCGTTGGGAAAGGCACATACTACGCTATTTTGGTTGATACCATTCGTTGGGGAGGCGCATACTACGCTATTTTTGGCTGCGTTATTTCAAGGGCCAAATTTTGATGATGATCACACATAACTTACGTTTTTTCTGCAGCGTTCGAGGTGGCCAAGACAGTGCAGGCGGCGTCAGGGCCGTCGCTTGCGGCCTGGAACCAGACGCTCCAGGACGCCGTCTACCAAGCCAAGCTCGCCGACATTAGGGAGAAAGTCGAAACCTTCGCACAAGCCTTTCCTATGCCAGGACTCGAATCTTTCTAGCTCAAGTGCAGCCAATAACATTGCATTTTGTGCACAAATTTATTAGTGTACTCTCTTATGTGCAAGTATTCTTGCACAAGTTAATCCAATCATTCAAATTATGCATGGGAAATGCTATCAATGACATTTTAATTAGTACCCGAATCTACTTTAGTGCTTCCAATAAATAACTAGAATACTTGATGCGAAGAATTTTGGAGCTCGAGTAACGCCGTAAATTTACAAATTATTATTAGTTGTCTTATAATCGTTCAGTGCCATGACTTTAGTCAGTGCCAGGTCGTGCCAATATTTTCTGGAAACATCAGCTCGGGTCGAATCCGTTAAGCTTTATCCCAATGAGCGAATTAACTTGAGTAGGTAGGCTTGAATTTGTCTTAAATTTATTGTTCGATAGGGGTTCAATTTAAGCCACTATTGTGTTCAATATCTCTGCTGACAATGGTTAAGTTATGCTACACTATCTCGATAAAACCACTATTTTTGATTCTGTTTATAATTAGTGTCGTAAATTTATTGTATCTGCGTCAACAAGTTGCTGCATTCAGGATTCCGGTCTGCATCATTAGATTGAGTCTCCATTTTCCATTCATTGTTTACTATCGAGAATCACTTGTTAGTGGAGCGCGGTAAGCTCACGGCCAAGCTTTCTTCGATGCCTTCCCACACGGTGAACAGTTGCTCAGGTAGTCAGTTCATCCATTGAATCTTGTTATATTGCATTTTTGTCATGTCTTGCTGCAGCTTCTATTTATTCGCTTGCTATTTGCGTTGAAATAATGACCAGTTTTAAACAAAATATAAACGCGATAAATTTGCTGGGAAAGATTTATCTATAATTTGCATTTATTCACATGTTTGCAATATAATTTGGACCATATTTTCATAATTTCTTATTTATTCGCTTGCTATTTGCGTTGAAATAATGACCAGTTTTAAACAAAATATAAACGCGATAAATTTGCTGGGAAAGATTTATCTATAATTTGCATTTATTCACATGTTTGCAATATAATTTGGACCATATTTTCATAATTTCTTCATTGATTCACTGCGTAAATAGCGAGATGGTGTTTCTTTACCATCAATTTATTAATTTGTTAGGCCTAAAGCAAACTGAGCGGGACTAATAAGCCTCATTTTACATGCAACGCACAACTTTTAACAGAATATTTGATCGACTATTTTAGTTAAGGTTCAAATGAGAAGAGAAAAGTGGTAAAAAAAGGAAAAGTGGTAAGTGATTTTTTCACAAGGTTGTTGAAATCCGCGTTATACTCTTTCGGAGGCCGCTGTCATTAAGTGCGGAAGCTCGAGCTGCAACATTATATATTTGCTTGGTTGTTCCGTCCAACTACAAGTAATAGTCATGAAACTATAGTACGTAGTTGTCCTCAAATTTGTAACATTCGAAGGGAAATGAAGTAATATTGAATAATTTTATTTATGCGGTAATAAATGATTTTAAAAACAATTAGATAATAATAAACTTCTGAAAAAAGTGCTTCTATTTGACGAACAACTTTAGAGACCTGAGGTGGCGTGAGACATTTGTGTTCGATGCTTCACTTATCATAAATGACAGCTGTTCTGTGATACAAAGTGCCTTTATCGTTCATCATTTCTATGCATTTTCTCAGTAGAAATGTGTTTACATTAACAACAGGGTGTCACCCTCAAGTGGCTGGGCTTAAGGTACGATTATTTAATGCTGAATGTGAATAATGAAGCCTTTTTACGTTTCATTTATTCTTTTCCAACTCACTTTCTAGTCGAAAATGAGAGAACAGCCCCGCGTCACCCTCACGAGGCAGGAGGATAACAGCCCCGCGTCACCGTCACGAGGATAACTGCCCCGCGTCACCCTCACGAGGCGGGAGGATAACAGCCCAGCGTCACCGTCACGAGGCGGGAGGATAACAGCCCAGCGTCACCCTCACGAGGCGGGAGGATAATAGCCCAGCGTCACCCGCACGAGGCGGGAGGATAACAGCCCAGCGTCACCGTCACGAGGCGGGAGGATAACAGCCCAGCGTCACCCTCACGAGGCAGGAGGATAACAGCCCCGCGTCACCCTCACGAGGCAGGAGGATAACAGCCCCGCGTCACCGTCACGAGGCAGGAGGATAACAGCCCAGCGCCACCGTCACGAGGCAGGAGGATAACAGCCCCGTGTCACCCTCACGAGGCAGGAGGATAACAGCCCCGCGTCACCGTCACGAGGCAGGAGGATAACAGCCCCGTGTCACCGTCACGAGGCGGAAGGATAACAGCCCACCGTCGTGTCACCCAACATTTCTGAAAAGGAAGGTATATTCGTTACAATGCGATTATTATCAAGTAATTACATTACTAAAAGAATAATAATTAACAAATTAACACATAGTTAAGACGTTATTTAATGGCTGTAAACCGGATTCCCTCCACAGCTCACCAGGTTTCCGCATGGACGACATAGAATTCATATACTGAATACATGAATTTATAATATTGGCTAATTATACTCATCAATTCCACTGCGTTGTTCACGTAAACCTGCAAAATAAATTCGGTATAAAAAAAATTGGTCGTAATTCTACGTATTCATATAAATGCTATGAATAAGTAGTGCTTCTTCACAGCTGATTAAATACTGAAACTAATAACAGGATGGACATAAATTTCATCAATAATGAGTGTAAATAAGCAAGATTAGCCGTGAAAGTAGTCATTATCATTTTCTAATCTCGAAACCAATAAAATTGAAAACAATCAAATACGAGTGCGGCACGCAAAGATTGAGATAAATGTGCAAATACAGGCAGAAAATGAAACTGTTATTCTTTTTACCACCGACAGGTGATTGCCTGCATTACCACGCAGGTGAAAGAGAGTGAAATAAATATTATTCGCTCCGTAGACTAACACGCTTTATGCCTTCGACAGTAAACAAAAGGTGACAGTTAACAAAAACCGAGTTACTTTTAAATTCCCGGTACTTTCTCTCTGGCTATTGAGGGTTTGTGCATTAAATTGGTAGGCAAAAATACAGTTTTGTACGGGGTACACACTATCCATCAAAAACAGTTGTAATACATTAACAAATCACGAGATGAAAGAAATTAATTACAATAGCCCAGTAACTACCCAGTAAATTGATAAAAAAATTTATGTGGTGCTCAACTTGTAAGTAGGTATGCACAAATAAGAGCCATATATGGTAAAAATAATAATTTTTGAACGTCTAAACGGTCGTTCAGGCGAAAAACATGTACTAATTGGGCCAACAGATAAGCTGATAAAAATAATCTACATACCATCACTATAGCATAACCCGACATCACACTCTAACGCGGCATCACAGCCTCTAACTTGCCAGGACATACTCCTGCTCATATCTTAACCCCACGGCAAATTTTCCAGCCTCCCAGCACAGTTTCAAACCGAAAACATCTTACATACGTATACTTACGTACGTATCCTTACCTAGCACCACATATTCTAACCTCTCGGCACTAACCCTATTTTCTAAGCAAGTTTCCTAGCGCCCAAGCACATACTCTAACCTCTTAGTAAATACATGACACAAATGCGACGAAACAGCTACTGTACCTATCAAGCGCAATATATAAATTTGGCATGAAAGGAATAAAACATTCTTGCAAGCAAACTTGAAATGCCGAGATTAAATGTTATTCATCATTACGCCAACAAATATTGTTCTGGCCTTTCATGACAACCCTTCTTTTTAATTTCCTCGCAGGCAGAACAGGAAACGAGAAGTTGACAAGGCGTCAAACATCTCTCGATTCCGCGACAGAAAAATAAACGTGAGAAAGTGCCAAGTTGTTACCGTGTCACGAAAATTGTCACGTCACCACAACCATATAAAAAATATCACAAAAAATTGTACAACAAACTTTAAGCCAAGAAAATCGACAAACTAGAAAATTTGGTTATTTATTCTTCATGATTAAGGACTTACAAGGAAACTGCATTAACTGTCGATGCACAATTAATGACGGTTGTCGGTAACGAGAGCGGGAGACGGGCGTTGCGGATGGAGGGTGTCGGTTTGACAGGCGCTCATTAACGGGTTTTAACTAATTTGAGACGCCGAACCGACAGCGCGCCGCCCACTTCCGAGGCTGATCAATTCCTGGGCCAGCCGCGCCCTTATATTCTCCCTGAATTAAGTTTAATATGAATTATTACTTTGGAATGTAAGTTGAGCTTTAAATAAAAGTCATCTCTAGATTTCTGTAGCACTTTTGTTTCGACGACTTTTGGGATTCATATTATGGTTTTACGAATAAAAAACATTCAAGGCTGAAAATTTTAGAGAAAAGGTTACTTTAAGTATTCGCAAAACATCCCATACTATTTGAAACACTTCAGTTTTTAATGTACCGTACAAGACAAATGACAACAATAAGGAAAACTGCCACTTCAAATTACATTTTGCTACTTACCAGTAAAACAGCGATTAAAGTAGTGAGAATCTTACATTTTGATCATATAAAAGTAAATTTAGGCTTTTAATTCAGTATGTAATTAAAAGAGGTTATAACAAGATAGCAGGGAGTTAGAGACTGAACCTGAAGCGATACAAGAAGACAAAATTTGTAATCGGAAATGGAAAAAATTTATGCGAAGATTGAAAAAATGCATATGAAGATAAATAGGCGTCGTTTATTAGACCTATTCAAGAAATAAACTATGAACTTGGAACGAACAGCACGACAAACTTTCGTAGTTTAAATGAAACATAACGCGACGCAACGAATAGTGAAAATATTCAAACAAATTCAAAATTTAGTAGAAGAAACATAGAAAGGACAACTATAACATATCTTATCTAAGACCAAGAATTTCTAGTGAAAATAAAATAAGAAATGAAGACAATGTAAAATGTGCTAGCGGAATATTATGCAATAAAGCGATTGGCTGAGATAGAAATAATAGCTAAAAAATACTAAAGCGTGGTAGATAGAAATAATAAAAAATTAACTTGGTACCCTAAATTGCAACCGAAGAAATATACAAAGAAGAAGGTGAAATTTATCCGTAAACTAAATTTCACCCTCTTCTTTGTATATTTCTTCGGTTGCGACGAGACGTTATCCTACGAATTTGAGATGGAAGGGAATTTCAACGGAATATCAAGCAACTTGAAAAAAAATTGAACTCTTCACAAAGAAAAATGGGAGCAGTTATCCCACAACGGCGAGAAGGGGGGAGCACGCAACGGAATACCCAGTGAAATGCATAAAAAATTGAACTCTTGAACCTGATAAAAAAATAAAGGGTGAAATCGGAAAAAAGTTCGCGAAGGGGGGACCCGGACGGCCGTGGGAGGTGCCGCTTCCGCCGGCGGGGCGAAGGGCGGACGCGCAGCTGCTCGCTTCACGCCGTCCGCGGCCGCTGTCATAACGCCATTTTAATATAATCTTTGTACGGAGAATTAAATTCATTGTTGAAATAATCGATGGGTCAACTGCTTTTTAAATAAACTAGTTGATAAATAATAGTTTATAGATAAAAAATAAAAACTATTAATATATATATTTCTTACCTATTTATTATATATTTACTATCAATAAAAAATAAATAATAATTGAATAGCTAGTTGATAAATAATCAATCGATTGTATGTCTATTAGGTAATTAATCAATTGTAACTGATCACATAAAAAATAGTATATAAAGACTAAGCAGAGGTTAATTATTATCGACAAGTAGAATGAATTTTATATCAACCAGACAATCTTGTGTACCTCGAGACACTGGAATTAATTTTTGAGGCATCAATGAAACAATGAAATGGAGAAACATGCTTCATCGTTGGCTGAAACTCTGTTGAAGCAGATTTTAAAGAACTCTACGGCGGTTGGATTCGATAGTTTCACTAAAAATTACAATAACTCT